AATAAGAAAGGTTTCTTGAGCACCAAATCAGCATATTAGAATGATTTCTGAAAGATCATGTGACACTGAAGACTGTGATAATGATGCTGAAAATTCAGTTTTGCCATCACAAGAAATATTACATTTAAAAATGATTATTAATATAGAAAACTTATTTTAAATTGTAATACTATTTCACAATATTACTGTTTTTACTGTATTTTTGATCAAATAAATGTAGCCATTGCTGAGCATTAAGAGACTTCTAGTAGACTTCGGTAGTGTATTTATTTGTATTTAGTTTATATATGTCATATTTAATACATTAGCTCGTTGAACATTAGAAAATATTTAATGTTTATCATACAACAGTTAGTTACATTTAGGAATGGGACAAGTGACTCTTTTTTGAGTGAGTCACTGAATCATTAATTCAACTGATTTGTTCATTTATAAACATTGATTCATTCGAAAACACCACTACTAAGTGTTGTTTGCAAGTAGCTAGCAAAATTCAAATGAAAGAACTTTTAATTTCTTGCCGCTTTATCGCACCTAGTTAGGACGCATTGAAGAAAGTATTTAGCTACCTACATAAAGTTTGTTTTAATTTGTTTATGGTCTTGCTAAATAGGGACAGTTTGTTTTCTTGGCTCCTAAAGATATTTGTCGCACACCCTTATTTCACAGCAATTTCACAGCAAAACAAACAAGTCCAGATATCAGCACTGTATAAATAATTCATCAGTTCACACAGTAAATAATTTTATGTAGCTTTAGTTTATCTGCGTTTTGAGTTGTTATCTGTCACTTTCTCAATCTGTCTCTTTCTCTCGCTCTATCATCTCTCACTTTCTCTCTCTCTAGACCATATCTGATCAGATCTCCTACTGGGTGCCGTCTGCCCCCATCTGCCTCAGACTGCCTTGCTCCATGTTCCCCATGGAGCTTGCCATCATTAATATTGCTTTCACATGTGTGTTATGAAAAAACCCACTGGTACTCACCCGCACCTGCTGTCGGTGCTGTTGGGTGATGCTTGGGCAGAGAGGGAGAGACACAATGTCTTTAGAGACTTTGAGCTAATGGATAACATGTTGAAACAGATGTGGAATTCAACATTCAGTGAACATGATCAATAATGTGGAAATAAAGCATTTTATGTATGTGAGAGGAGATGAGGCTGAATCGTTTGCAGCGTTTTGTAGCTTTTTCTTTAAATTTTGGCTAATAAATACCTCTGCTGAAAAGACAGCTTGTTTAGTCCTGGTCTGGGCTGATGGACCAGCATAGTTGTGTTTACCAACAAATAATGAAGCATGGCTTTTAATTTAAGCTAGATAGTTCACCAATAATGATAATCCTGTCATCATTTACTCACCCTCAAATTGTTCCAAACATGTATGAGCACAAAAGATGATGTTGATGGTAGCCATTGACTTCCATGGCATGGAAAAAATAGAATGGAAATCAATGGCTACCATCAACCTTTTGGTTACCAACATTCTTCAAAATATCTTCTTTTGTGTTCAAACTCTTACAGGTTTGGAATGATGTCAGAAATGATGACAGAATTTTCATTTTTGGGTGAACTTTTCCTTTGAGAAGCCTGGTGTGGGCAAAGTCCCTTTCAAGGAAAGTCTTTTCACTCGGCAGCCATATTTGCTACGCCTCCAGGCAGCTCAAACAAGACCAAGTCCTATCTAAATGAATGGGGGAATCCTGAAATCTCAAAAACTGTATGCTTATGACTGCGCGTGCACATTGGCTGGTCTAGCCTCAGGTTTCTATGGGAACCGGAGCTTTTAACGGCCGCTGCATTGACGCAATGACTTTACCAATCAGTGATTGGCTCTTTCATTTAGAAGGCGGGACTATTTCGCCATATTGCGCGCTGTAGTTTCTCCCATTCATAAGAGTGAACGTCTTTGTATTTCTGTAGTCTTTGGTGTGGGTCCACCAGTATTACATTCTGTGGTACAACATAGAAATAACAATGTATAAAGTGCATTGTAAAAATTGTAAATATTCATTAGAGATTGATTTTTTTAAAGTTTTAAATAAAACATTGGAGCACATTTTACAGGAAAATACTATTTCAGTCTTTCTACTTTAAAATTTCATGTATAATGTTCAATGTGTTACTTGTTGTTCTTTGTAATTATTTGTAAAATTTATTAGCAATTTTTTCAGAAAGTAGTATTTTTAGTGTGTTAGTCTTTTACATAAATGTAAATAAAATCCAAATTATATATTTATTTTATTATATAAATATGTAATATCTAGCTTTTGAAATAAAATGTGTGATTAACATTTTTAAGTCAAGGGCTTTTGGTTTATTTGGCATATTAAAATTATTGCAAACCAATAAAACCATGTTTATCATGCTTTAATGCATTCATTCCAGTTTCTGTGAATTTATTCCTACAAATATCAGAGCTGACTTGGTGAAAACAAGCTTTTTTAGTGATGACACTTGCCTTTTAATTCATAATGTATTCAGTGCTATACCAAATGCACTGATTTGTAAAACAGATTCAGGGACTAACTGTGTAAATGTGGTGTGCAGGTAAGCAAACACTGTAGAGCAACATAATTTAACACTCTGATTTTAATTAAGACCGCTTACAGGCACATTTATCTCACTGTTTGTGGTAAATTACTCTCTAAGCTTTGCTCTCCATTATGAGTTTCACCTACTAGCTTTCATGTGTTTTCTTCTAATAGTTGGAGAGCTCCAGCTACTGTGTTGGATCAAAGTCGACGTCTACGGCTTCCGGGCCATGAGTAGTTTTAAGGGCCAGGATGTGGAAAAACAAGGCATCAAGCTGCCAAAAAAATGGATTGATTCCAATGAAAAAGTAAGTTCAGTTTCACATTTACTCTTCTTTTATGCTTTTTTTTTTTTACATGTATGAATTTTGGGGAAGCTACTTTGCAACTGTAACTTGTTAAGCAACTACTGGTAGTTTACAGTAGATTAGCTACATTCAAGCTAACCAGTAACAAAAGTAGCTAAATACATTGAAAAGTTACGGGTCAGTAAGATTTAGAAAGAAGTCTCTTATGCTCACCAAGGCTGCATTTATTTAATCAAAAATAAAGTAAAAACAGTAATATTTTGAAATATTATTACAGTTTAAATTAACTGTTTTCTATTTTATATATTTCAAAATGTAATTTATTCTTGTGATGCAAAGCTGAATTTTCAGAATCTTCGCTTCTTCGATCTTTCAGAAATCACTCTAAAATGCTGATTTGCTGCATAAGAAATATTTCTTATTACTATCAATGTTGAAAACAGTTGTGCTGCTTAATATTTTTGTGGAAACAATGATTGATTGATTTTTTTTTCCAGGATTCTCTGATGAATAGAAAGTTCAAAAGAACAGCATTTGTTTTAAATATTTAAATAGTCAAAACTTGACAAAACTTATTTAAAATAGTCTTTAATGGCAAACTTGGAAATATACATTTAGTGTTTAGTGAAAAGTGTTTGATTATTGCTTCAGCTGCTGGAAAGCTTGTTACTGAAAAGCTACTCTACTTCAAAAGAAACAATAGATGATACCAAAAACAGTAGTGTCACTACTTTTAGTTACTTGTCCTTGTTTTAGTAAGTGTTGTTTACAATAGTGATGACAACTGCTTTTGTTTAATCTTTTCTTTTAGCCAAACTTGAAATGTTTCTTTTCTGACTTCTTTTTCCATTCTTGTCGGTAGATCCCCACAGACCGTACGATGGTTATCGGGGGAGTTGTGGGAGGAGACACTTCCGATCCCCCAGGAGGTCAGTTGAGAAAACGGCGTCAGCGCTATGTGGAAAAGGACGGCAAGTGCAACGTCCACCACGGAAACGTGCGCGAAACCTACCGTTACCTGACAGACATCTTCACCACACTCGTGGACTTGAAGTGGCGCTTAAATCTGCTGGTCTTCACGCTGGTCTACACCACCACCTGGGTGTTTTTTGGCTTCATTTGGTGGCTCATCGCCTACACCCGTGGAGACCTGGACCACGCTGATGACAACGAGTGGACACCGTGTGTCAATAATCTCAATGGCTTCGTCTCAGCCTTCCTTTTTTCCATCGAGACCGAGACCACCATTGGTTATGGGTATCGTGTCATAACGGACAAATGCCCCGAGGGCATCATCTTGCTTCTAGTGCAGGCCATCTTGGGCTCCATCGTCAATGCCTTCATGGTGGGCTGCATGTTTGTGAAAATCTCACAACCAAAGAATCGCGCCGAAACGCTCATGTTTTCTAACACAGCTGTGATATCCATGCGGGACAGCAAGTTGTGTTTGATGTTCCGTGTTGGTGACTTGCGTAACTCGCACATTGTGGAGGCCTCCATCAGGGCAAAGCTCATCCGCTCTAAGCAGACCAAGGAAGGAGAGTTTATCCCCCTAAACCAGACGGACATCAACGTGGGCTTTGACACGGGGGACGATCGGCTGTTCCTGGTGTCACCGCTGATCATTTGCCATGAGATCAACAAGAACAGCCCTTTCTGGGACATCTCTCAGGAGCAACTGGTGCGAGAAGAGTTTGAAATAGTGGTCATTCTGGAAGGAATGGTGGAGGCTACAGGTGAGAGTAGATCATGGAGAATGAGAGAGCAAGGGGGAGAATGAGTGCTGAGAAATGCCACTGTTACACTGTTATGTAGGCAAAAACATTTCTCCATTGACTGCCATTCAACAGGTGACATGTATTTTAGTTAGAAAACAAAACTGTTATTTGCTATCTATCTATCTATCTATCTATCTATCTATCTAAATCAGGGGTTTTCAACCTTTTAGGACATGCGCCCCCCCCAAATTTCACTCGCCCCAACAACATGCCAATCCGTGCGGATTTCCGACACGGCTAATCGTAAATCATCTTACACTGTCAATAAGTGTGACCAGGGTTGCCAGGTTTTCACAACAAAACACGCTTAATTGCTACTCAAAACTATCCCAAAACTACAAAACGCGGCAAGTGTTAAAGTAGCCCAATTCCGTGGGAAACCCGCGGACTTGGCAACACTGAGCGTGACTGATACTCGAGCCAACTCTGCTCTAACTGTCGACTAGCAGTGGGGGAGTGGGAATGAATGGCTCTCACCAGGGAAATATGAGCTCTTTGGATGAGTCAGGGGAATTTAAATGGGTGTTACCTGCAAATCAAACATGAAAATTGACCAGATTTACCACAGTTCCCCGGGTAACAGAATGCTGACAGCAAGGTGTGATGTGGTATTTTCATGGGATTCACTAATTATATTGAAAGTGAATTCATATGATAGTAATTGCAATTACACTATGCTAATTAGCTTTTGCATTGTGTTCTCTGTCAGTATAGACAGATATTGCTGCCTGCATGGAGCAGAAGGATGGAGGACTCTTGAGATGTCTCTTAGTAAGACAAGCTCATTGCCTGTCAATAGAACCGCCTCAAGGAAATTGGTGAACAGAAGACAATTGAAAGAACTACAATGCAATTGACTCTCACACACACATAAATACACACACGCTCACAAACACACTCTCTCCTACATCTAAAATAATGAATCATTGCTCAGGAGTGGGATGCAGTGAGTAGCTTGATTCAGTCCACAATCATCACTTGTTCAGTGCAGTTATACTTTTTTTGTCTCACATCTGACATTCAAGAGCATCCCACTTTCAGTCGATGTATGTTTAACCAATCTATTATTAGACAAAAAGCAGGATAACAGTAAAAGAATCAGTATCAGAAAATGATACCGAACTATTCAGGTCAGGATTTTACCTCAAGGCCTAACGAAATTGGAAAATGATAAAGAATAATGATTGATTTCCTAAAGAAAGCCCTTTTTGGGGCTTTAAAGTGATAAGTAATGGAGGTTTAGGATTGGTAGCTTGGCCAATCAGGGTAATACCATTAGGGAGACAAGAGTAATGAACAGAGAGTCCACGTCTTATAACAAATATAATTGTTCTAGTTTGAGTGTCAACCTGAGCAAAAGCTCACTCTTAAAGAGATAGTTTACTGAAAAATTTGAATTCTGTCATCATTTACTCATCCTCAAGTTGTTCCAAACCTTTACAAGTTTCTTTCTTTTGCTGAACATAAAAGAAGATACTTTGAAGAATGTTGGTAACCAAACAGTTAATGGTAGCCATTGACTTCCATAATATTTTTACCATACTATGGAAGTCAATTGCTACCATCAATGTCAAAATACATTCTTTTGTGCTAAGCAGAAGAAAGAAACTCGTACAGGTTTCAAACAACTAGAAGGTGAGTAAATCGACAGAATTTTCATTTTTGTGTGAACTATCCCTTTGAATGAAAATTTTGTCATCATTTACTCACCCTTATGTTTCAAACCTGTATGACTTTATTCTGTGGAACACGAAAGAAGATATTAAGATTTAGTTTTTTGTTTTTTTACTTTTCTTGTCCACGTAATGAGCATCAGTTGGGTCATTATATGGATGAAACGAGACACTTTTCTAAATATCTTATTTTGTATTCCACATAAGGAAGAATGTCATATGGGCTTGGAGAAAAAAAAGGTCACACTATATTTTATGGTGCAATTCTCGCTATTAACTACGAATTTTGCCTGAAAAACTCCTAATTAGCTGCTTATTAATAGTTAGTAAGGTCGTTGTTAAGTTTAGGAATTGGGTAGGATTAGGGATATAGAATATGGTTATGCAGAATATGTGCTTCATAGGTACTAATAATAAGCCAATATGCTAATAGGCATGCTAATAAGCAACCAGTTAATAGTGAGAATTGGTCCCTATACCAAAGTGTTACTGAAAAAAAAGAATGCATTTAAACGTGAAGTCAATGGGACAAAGCATAGAGTGCTGAAGGTATGACATATTTTTATAGACCAAAATTTTATTTTGCACCATAGACGTCCGTTATTTTAAACATGTTTTTTATAAACTCGGGGAAGAAATTATTGTCTGTGGTAGTGAATATCATGGCACAGATGCTGTTGAGAGAGCTTAACATGTGTTAAACCTGGAACAGACCCTTAAATAAAGCCTTTTAAACTGCTGCACTTAGCAGAACCTGTTGGTGCGGCCCTCAGAGGCTTTGAGATGTTTTAAAACCTCTTTCTTTTAATAAATTAAGGCTTCAGTTCCAGTGAGGCTTTGGTTGTACTTCTGCTTGGGTTCTAGAATACTCTCATGTTTTAGATTTTTCCTGGGTGGCTAACAAAGCATTTTGTTCACAGTGAAATGGTTTTAAATGAACAGTTTAAAATGTCCGTATGGAGGTGTTTAAGTAAATTGCAGAGCATTATCAGTGAAAGTGAAGCTTCTCTTGCAGTAGCTTTCATTGATTATATAGTTCGATGCATACCCTGTGTGGTTATTGAACTACTGCACACTGGGAATCTCATACATTTTGATGTGTTTGATGAATGATATCTGCTGAGTTTCCTAGATGTCATTTATATTCATTATGACAGCCTCTATTACTCTGTGTGTGTTTACTTGTGAGTGTGTTTGAAAGTGATCGTAAAAAAGATGCTTGATGAAAGTATGTTCAGTTGCTCTGTTTGTCACTGCACGTCTCTGGAGTAATTGATGCGGTTTTTCAAGGTTCACTTAAGCAGATGATGAGAAAGCTTGTATTCTATTTTTAGGCGCTGTGCCCATAAATATTCAGCAGTGCATGTGCATGCATGTCTGTGCGTTTCACGGGAAACATGATATTCTTAATTAATTAAGCTTAAGTACATTCCTATTGGCATATTGAAAGGATCATTACTTACTTTAAAAGGTCAAAAGCACAATTAAACAGTGACCTTTAGATATTTGAAAAACACATAATGGAACAGTTAGTTCTTCAGCAAATGTTATAAAAGTGGTTTTAATAGCA